TCAGCATTTATTAGGCAGCTATTATGTGCCAGGTACTGTATTATGTGCTGGGAAGACAAATACAAAGGATGAAACAACCCTACTCTTATGAGGTTCATAAATCCCTCCGTTTCTGTGAACAAATTTGCATGACTCACCCATTCCTTGACACCTCTCTGGGGACATGCATTTGTGTGTATGTCACTCATGGAGGACCTTTCGATTCCACTCTTAAATTTTGGCTACTTGATAGTCTCTGTCTGGAGGTAAACTGCTTTTAATTACATTCAGCCAATCCAGTGGTGTTTGTTTGCTGAAATCACGACTGTTTGTTACAAAGGTATTTCTCTGTATTAACCTTTCTCATGTGCTCTGAGAATATCTGTTTATCCTTTCTTCTTTTGGATGGTGTGTATATTTCTCCATTGCTACCTTAGAATGATGGGCCCTGTGTTTCGTTAATATTGTATTGTACGGGTTTTTGTTAATATGCTTTCTATATCTGTTGTATTGGGTTTTGTTTTTTTCATCTTCAAGGATGTGCATTAAGATTGGTATGGGGGTCAGCTAGGATAGAGCACTGGGCCTGGGGTCAGGAGGACTCCAGTTCAAATCTGGCCTTAGACACTTATTAGCTGTGTGACGCTGGGCAAATTGCTTAACCCTGGTTGCCTCCATAAAACGAAAAAAGATTGATATAGCCTAATTCTTAGTTACTTTAAACATTTTTATTGAATTTTGATTTTATGATTGAATTTTAATTTCAAGATTCCATTAAGTCTCCTGATTTATACAGCCATAGCTTTCTCCTTCATATTTTTGAACTTGATGAGCTTTGCCTAGAGATTCTTAAGATATTTGTAAATGTCACCTTCGGTTGTTTTGGTTTGACATTCAGAGTCAGGCTTCAAAGTTCTTAGTCTCTTTTCTTGGTATTAAGAAAGACATTTTTGGGGACAGCTAGGTGATGCAGTGGATAGAGCACTGGCCCTGAAGTCAGGAGGACCTGAGTTCAAATCCGGCCTCAAACCAACACTTGATACTTACTAGCTGTGTGACCCTGGGCAAGTCACTCAACCCCAATTGCCCCCCCCCCAAAAAAGGCATTTTTCATATCATTGTGGTTTTTGATAGAGCCATATAATTTGATCTCAGACATGTACATCAAGTAATAAGTAAGATATATTATATATATAATAGGATATGACTTCCTCTTAAATGTGGAAGGTACATGCAGTTCTGTTTAGGAGAGATGATAATGGGTTTAAATCTAGAAAGAATCTTTTTCTTTTAGCTAGTATTTTATTTTTTCCAATTACATGCAAAGACAATTTCTTTAATGTTCATTTTTTATGTAAAATTTTGATCTCCAAGTCCCTCCCTTACTTCCTCCCTAAGATAGTAAGCACTTTGATATAGGTTTCGATTTGATATGTGCAATCATGTGAAATATTTCCACATTAGTTATGTTGTAAAAGAAGAAACAGAATAAATGGGAAAAAACATGAAAAAAGAAAGTAAAAATAGTATGCTTTGATCTGCATTCAGACTTCATCAGTTCTTTCTCTGGACATGTATAGCATTTTCCATAATGAATCTTTTTGGATTTGCCTTGGATGATTGTATTGCTGGAAAGAGCGAAGTCAATCATACCTGATCATCACACAATGTTGCTTTTCCTGTGTACAATGTTTTCCTCATTCTGTTTACTTCACTTTGCATCAGTGTATGTAAGTCTTTCCAGGTTTTTCTGAAATCAACCTGCTCGTATCTTAAACCACAGTTTGTTCAGCCATCTTCCAATTGATGGGCATTCTCTCAGTTTCCAATTCTTTGCCACCACAAAACAGGCGGCTATACATATTTTTGTATACGTAGGTCCCATTCCCTTTTTATGATCTAGGAAGAATCTTATTTGAATTACTTCCCTGAAAAAATTTTATATGCCTTTTTCTTCTTCTTTTTTTTTTTGCTTTTTGGTGAGGCAATGAGGGTTAAGTGACTTGCCCAGGGTCACACAGCTAGTAAGTATCAAGTGTGTGAGGCTGCATTTGAACTCAGGTCCTCCTGACTCCAAACCCAGAGCTATATCCACTGCCACTATATCCATTGTTCTTGACATTTTTGTGTTGCTGTGTTTTAAATATGGGAAAGTTTTTCACAAAGACAGCATTTGATGTTCTTAACATCATAGCAGGGAGGTTCCTTAACCTGTGGTCCATGAATTTATTTTTGGGAAAATATTTTGATCATTGTGTTTTCATATATTTGGTTTCCTTTATGATCATATGTATTCTTATGTATTTATGTATCTTATGCACTTAAAAGCATTATTCTGAGAAGGGATCCATAGGCTTCATTAGACTGCTTAAGGGGTCTATCACACAAAAAAGATTAAAAACTTCACAAATACATAAAGTAAACCCAAGTATAGAGAACTTCCTTTAGTGTAATCACTATACTTGGATTTATTTTATGTATTTTTAGTACATGAATAATCCATTAATGTAGACTTGAGTCTGTGGTTTACAGCAATCAAGAAAGGTAGTGTAAATGTTCAATGATTTTGGTTGGCCTGCTCAGTAATTTTTGAATCAAAAAGTAGATTGTGTTTTGCACATTTGGGACTTTTTGTCACATACCCTTTGTTCCTACTGTTCATTATACAGGGTGTACCAAAAATATTAGTACAATTTTAAGCAATTTTTTAGCAAATTTAAGCAATTTTAAGCAAAACTTAAAAGTCTTCCCTGATTGGTGAATGTTCTGTTATTGTTTATAGCATATATGAGAAATCTGTCTCAACTTAAGCAATCAAAGCTTAAAATTGCACTAAAACTTTCAGAACACCTTATATCGTTCATGTACAAGCTTTCTGTTTTGCTTTTATTCAACTTTGAACCAGAAAAGACAAGCAGAAGTTATACACGTACTTTTCTTTCAGGGGTTTTCTTTCCTCCTTAATTACTATAACATTTTTGATGCTGAATTAAAAAAAAAATGTTCTTTATACTGCTTTGACTCTTTGTTCATCTTAACCTTTTGAATTTTGCTTTCAGTTAATAATTAAGGGAATCTAGAATTTCTGCTACACATTTATTTTCCGTATTACTTTCTTTTCTGTTGCTTTGAATTGGGTGATATGTTCAAGCTTTGTATTGCATGTGCCAGCTAGACACTGATGTAATCTCCCACTGCATTTCCTCACGTCTTCAATAGTTTTTTCCAGTCACATCCGCCATGATGGTGTGTGATTCTTGGCATTAAGAGCATTCCTTGATTGCTCCATTTTTCTCTCTTGATTCTCAGTTCAGCAATAGTTGCCACATGTATTCCTGTTTGCAGGTCCTAAAATATATGTCCGTTTTTTTTCAAAATCATTGGAGATACTGATATTGTTTTATGTCATCTATTTCATTATTAGACAGAATGTCTAGAGTTTTTGCTAAGTGAATGTTTTCAGTGACTTCACCTTTTTCAGCTTGGCCCTCATCCATCTTAGTAGCCCCTCCTCAATTTCAGCTCATTTCACCTAATTTTGATCTAGGAATTAAATTATTTCTTAACAATTGCTCAGCAATATGTTGTTGTGTGACTTGTAGCTCAGAGTTCCACTGACAGGGCAGAATGAAGCTCTGTCAATGGCAATATCTGTTTCCAGTTTTGTTATGTTCTAAGATTGTCACATAATGAAATAATTGTCACCTCGATTGTGTTTTTTGTGCCCTTGTGATTTACCGATGTCAATGACCAGCACCATCTTTATGGAAGCATCTGATTTTTATTCCTGCTGTATCCTGCCTTGTATTGGTACTACATGTGGAGAAACATTACTCACTTCTGTTTTCTGGTCATCATAATACTTTCAAGTAGCACCAACCCACAATGCCTCTGCCCATCTTTTTTTTTTTTAACTCTTAGAAGCAGTTGCATCACGTGGACCTGAAACACTAACTTCAGAAGTTTCTGGGTTTGTGCCAGGACTTCATAGCTACCATGACAGTCTCAGGGCATCCAAGATTCCTACTGGACATTATCATGACTGGTATTTCTGCTTGCTGCTTTCTGCTTCCTCATCGTTACCATCCCACCATGAAATGGAAGATTCATTTGATGTGGTTATCAATGTTATCTTTTTTTTTTCCAACTACCTTCTATATTTTTTTTCACTTTCTTGTTATGTCCATAAATTTTCCCAATATACATATACACTATTGTCTTCTTTATTTCTTTCTTTAACCTTTAAAACATTTATGTATTTCTCCACTCAAACCAAAAATGATGTATAAATCTGGATTTTTACAACAGATAAATTAAAGGGTTATTATTTTGTAAAAGGGTTGCTATTTTGCAAAAACATACCTTTAAACAGCAATTCTCATCCAATATTTTCAAGCATTTATCAATTAACACTTAAATCCCCTATATTTATTGGTCAAAATGGGGAGGTATCCCTGCAGTTTTGTAAGGTGTTATACTATAAGCCTACCCTAATTAGTGAGAGGAATGTTCTGTTGTTGTTTGTAGAATGTTTAAGAAATTTGTCTTACCTATGAAACTAGATTCTAGTATACAACTCTCCTGGGATTGTTAGAAATGTGAAACATGACTTAGCAATAAGACCATGGAAATATTTAGAGCAAACATCTGGGCCAGGGAAAGGACAGTAGTATTTGAAGCTAACATTTATATGGCACTGTAATATTTCCAAAGCATTTCACATATATTCTCCAAGTTGATCCTCACAATGTCCCTTTGAAGTAGGTGCTGTTATTATCTCCATTTTATAGACATAGAAAACTGAGACTGATTGAGGATAAGTGATTTGCCAGGATTACACACAACTAGTAAGTGTCCAAAATTGGATTCCAATTTAGATGTTACTGATTCTCAAGCCTAGAACTCCTGTTGATGTTCTGCCTAACTGTCAGATGTCCATTATTATCTCAGTTTTGACAATGAGGTGTGTGGGGTAGAGGGAGGAATAGCTTTAAAGATAAAGTAGACCCTTTCTTTTCCAGGAAGCCAAAGGAGAAGAGAGTAGAACTTTTTCCTTGACCATAGACAGAAAATCAAGGGTAAGAAAGATTTTTCTAAGTTCTCTATAGCTTGGAGGGTGATGGTGAGACTTGGTTGAAAGGGAACCTGGTGGGGTGAGGGCCTCTCTTCTTGAACTAAGTTGATAAAGCAAGTTCTAGAAGACATCTGAGGCATCTCACAATTGTATAAAGCCAAATCTACATTAAGCAAAATCAGAATTTATTTACCTTGTACTGAAAACAGGATTGTTTTGACTGATTCAGGAACAAGATCTGTTATGTATGACACCATCAGGCAAAAGATGGGGAACTGACAGCTAGCTGCCAATACATTTCTATATAGGACTAAGATTAACTGAAGAGACTTTTGTAAGCTTGTAAAATTTCTCCTTATGTCCCTCCTAGTGTTTCCTTAAGTACTTGGCAATAGAACTTTTAAACACTTGAACGGAGGCTTGTGTACTGTCTTTGATACCCAGGACAAGGGAAAAAAGTTAAAAGAACACTTTCTCTTGGAGTGCTAAAGCAAAATATTCAGGAAACTAGGGCTCAAAATGATGAAGTTTATGACTGATGTTTAATTGTTTACTTTGTTCTTTGTACTGCTGTGACTTCTTGTGTTGCCTTAATCTTTTGGCTTTTAATTTTTAATTAGGGGAATCAAGAATTCCTGCTATACTTTAAAAAAAAATTCAGCAAGCCAAGTCATGCAGAACTCAGAAAGCTATAATTGGGAGGGACCTCGCAGATAACTTAGACCAACCTTCTCATTTTACAGATGAGGAAACTGAGGTCCAGAAAGGGCTTGTGTGTACAACCTTGCTGAATCACATTTCACAGAAACACAGAGACCATTTGTGCAACCTGATTATGACTAAGAGTATATCATAGAAAAATTCTGGGTTCTCAGGTCAAATAGTAAAAGTCTAATTTTCTTTCTAGGTTCTTGAACATCCTGGTTGAATTAGCTGATCTTTAATGTCCCTTCTAGTTTTAAATTTTATGATTGGATGAGCCTGTGATCCCCTAACTTTCTATGCCCTGCTGCCTTTCTGAGCTCCCTGGTAGACAGAAGAAAAGATTGGGGTCACAACCCTCAGGAGCCCACATAGAGCAGCATGAATATTCAGTGATCCTTTATTCAGTGCCTATTCTATGTAAGATTCTGCTAAGTCCTGGAGATAAAGAGACAAAAATGAAAAGTCTACCCTTGAAGGGTAGGAGGGTTATGTGCTAGCACTGGGTATGAATTCATGGTCTGAGACAAACCTAAAAAAATATCTTCTTGTACTTAATGGATACTGTAATAAATGATAACTGAATTGTCAGTTGAATGACTCTGAGCCCCCTGCTGGTCCTTGGAACAGGGTTTGCATTGTTGTCCTGTGCATGACTATAGTGAAGCCAACATTCAGAGGCAACAAATCTCTGGTCAGAGATGACCTTCCATATTAGTACCAGTCTATCAAAGATAAAGGACGCATCCTTCCTTTATAAATTAACTGCTTTCAGGGATTGCATTTTGTATGTAGGGGATATTTGGGGATTTGGAAAGTGTCATCATAAAAATAATATATCAAAAAATTAAAACTAAAACTAAACAGAGCTACCGGGTCTGTGGTTGTCTCACACCAGTGCCTATTTCTCCAGTGTGACATCCCCAGAGCAGGACATCAAGTTGTGCCCTTGAATCTCTTCTGGAACATGCTCGGCTGTAGAATACAGCCTTGTCTGTCTTGGACTCCAACCAAGTAGGCTGAGTTTAATGAGATTCAGCTGGCACAAGTTGCTCTAAGTTCTAGTGAGTATTCCCATGGCATAGTCCACGAGGAGGACTATAGAGTAAGACCCTGGCCTTCTTTATGTTGGTTTTCCCTGTCTTCATCTTCCCATTTATTCACTTTGCATCAGGCTAGTGCAGTGGTGGACTCCTGCCCTGTCTCCACTAGCTCCAAAGGGCAGTTAAGTACCTTGTGATTTGTAAACAATAGACATGAGATTGTTTCTTGCTCCATGAGAGAAGAAGGGGAAGAATTTTATCTTAAGAATGGCATTTGTGCCTGGTTTTCTTAGCTCCCTTAAAATGTAGTAGCATGGCATACTAAGCTGTCTTAATTTTGATTAATACAAAGTAAAAAGTAGCACATTAGCTAGGCACGGTAGAGCACATGCCTCTAAGGAGGCTACAGGCCGTGGATCACTTGAGTTTGGGAGTTCTGAGCTAAAGTAGGCCCATCAGATGTTAACATTAAGTCTAGCACTAACATGGTGAGCCCCAAGGACCTGAGGACCCCCAAGCTTCCTGGGAAGGGGTGAACTGGCCCAAGTCAGAGAAACAGATCATATTATTGAGATTAGGCCTGTGAGTGGCTGCTGTACTTCTAACCTGGATAAGATAAGGATGCCCAGTCTCAAAAAAAAAAAACAAAAAAAAACAAAACCCCAAAACCAAAACAAAACAAAAAAACCAACAAAAACAAAACCCCAAACTAGCATACTAATAAATTTCACCTGTACATTTTTACAGAAATTAACTACTTCCTATGTTTTAAAGTAAGTGTCATGTTATATCTAAGAAACAGTTAGGTGGTCCAATGGTTAGAGCACTGGACCTGGAGTCAAGACTTGAACTCAAGTTTGACATCAGACACTATTTGTAATGTGCTTTGCAAACCCTAAAGTGCTATATAAATGCTAGCTGTTATTATAACTTTCATATTAAATTTCATTCTGTAGTTTTCCCCATTAAAACTATGACATATTTTCAACAAATTGACCAAGTTTTTAGACTATGATCATCTCTTCTTCTCTCAATTGAATTTCAGATTGAGTATTGTTCTGTATTTTTATATTCTCTAAGAGGGCTGCAAATTTTCCTTTAGCCCAACCTGGCACAGAACTAAAGATATAACAAAGCATGGCTACATAGGGTGGAGCTGAAACCTTAAAAGATGGTTGGCACAGAGTGATGCAAGTAGTAGAACCAGCTGTTAGAAGAAAACTCCATTCTTCAGTTGCCCTGCCCAATTGTCTATAGTTCAAATTTTCTAATTGCAGCTGATATGTTAGCACTGAGTGTTGGATGCAGCTGGATTATGCTTACATTCTTTTTCTTTTTTTCAAAAATGAAAATCTATGCTTCTTTTTGTCTCTTGCTCTGTGGGGATGGAGCATTAAGGCACTGTTTGGGGAAAAAAAAAACATAATGATTTTTGCCCTGTTCTGCATGTTGGTTAAATGATTAGTAAATGTTAATGTTCTTCCATTTCCTCCAAATTACTTGATGAACACAAAGCTCATTTTATAGTTCCCTATTGCTTGAGTCATTCGATTATTTTTTTTTGTGAAGTAAGTATATCCAGACTCTTTTTCCCCCCTCAAGGGTGAGTATGAGAAGAATAAAAAGGGAAGCTAAAATCAATATTTCCTTATTAGCAGGTCTGATGAAGATTTGATAGAGGAGATAAATCAATCAACACGTTTGGACATCCATTATATGCCCACACTGTCCTAGATGCTAAAGGAGAAAGAGAAATATATATATATATATATATAAAGAAATATAAAACAGAAATCTACCTAGAAAGGAACTTAAAAATCTAATTGGGCAAGAAGAGTTCCCTGTTTTTGAGCCTCAGTTCTTTCATCTGTGAAATGAAAATTACCTCAGAAGCTGTGAGGGCAAGTGCTTTGTAAATCTTAGCATGTGGAATGTCATACATTTATATGTGGTAGGTACCTTAGAAGTCATTTAATCTAGGGCCAGGGTTGGGGAACTTGCAGCTTTGAGGCCACATGTGGCCTTCTAGATCCTCAAGTGTGGCCCTTTGACTGAATCCATATTTCACTCAACAAATCCCCTTAATAAAAGGATTTGTTCTGTAAAGCTTGGACTCAGTCAAAAGGACCTAGGAAGCCACACGTAGCCTCGAGGCTGTAGGTTCCCCACCCCTGAGTAGGCTTTTTTTTTTTTGTACATCAGTAAGGAATTGGAGGCCCAGAAAGGTTCAGTGCCATAGATAGTGAGTGGGAGAGCTGGGATTTGAACCTCTTCTGATTTCAAATTCATGTCTTTTCCCACTTTCCTCTCCTGCAAGTTATTGTGAATAACACGTATAAAATAATTAGGGACTTGAAACCATTGGTTTAAAGGATTATCTCTGAATTTCATTTCCCTATGACCCCTAACACCTTCTATAATTGAGACTAGGCTCCACAGGACTTTATAAATGATGGTCATTTATTTTTAGCAAGATGGCTGTTCCAGCAGGCCCATAAAAAAAGGATCATGTTAATAAAAGAGCTATAACTTAAAACATATTTCAGAACTATCAGCCCTCTCCTAGTAAGAATGCTGCTAATGACCCAATATGATGGAGTTTCAATGAATCTTCCAATTAGTGTTATTTGTTTTCTTCAAATTTCTTTTGGTGGGATCAGTCTTAAAATATCTGTCATACACAAAGGAAAATGTTTACTACACGTGCTGTCTCCTACAATTTGAGTGTGAACTTCTTGAGAGTATGGACTTTTTTTTCCTGTTCCAAGGCTTAGCATATTGATCAACAAATGCTTTTTCACTGATTTCTTCCTACTTTTTAATTAAAAAAAGAATTTTTTTTAAAAAAAACGTTGTTGAGGGTAGGGAAGGGTATTTCTAAGTATCAGGTTCTATGTTTCATTTGTTTTTTAATACAGGGAGACCACCCTTCCTTTATGACTATTGTCCCTTTGTGTTTCAACACCGATGACTAGATTTATGGTATCACTTTTGAGGAGTGACCCAGATCATTTCCACATTTCTATACAGTAGAAAATAACTGCCATTTGCCTTTCACTGAGGTCAGTCAGTCAATGAGCATTTATTAAGAATTTACTATATGTTTGTTAGTGAACAGATGGGATGTTTGAATTATTGTATAACACTGATAGAGACTTCATTATCTGATTAAAGGGGAAACTTATAAGTGTCCTTAGTACCTGCCAGAGAAAGACTAAAGAAAAGACAGAGAAAAAACTGATAAATAGAAGTATTTTTA